GAAGCGTTGAAAAAGCAACTGAGGATCAACTGATATTGTTTCATCATTTACCTTGATTGAAGATTTCTGACCTAATGTTATTACTTGCTGATTTCGCTTGAAAACATATTCCCCGACTGTTTTTCCGTCTATAGATTGTAGAATTTTATGACCGACTTCTTTGGCATTGTCTGCATTGACATTTCCATCAGCTGTAACACCAGTTTCAATATTTCTAAGAGCTGTTTCTTCAAAAAACGGATTCCGATCAGAAAGATATTCTGCCAGTGTTTGCACATCAGTTGAATCTCTGTTCCTACGGGACGCACCACTCTCTTTATGTTGGATACTTGTGCTGTAATTTACTCTTGCATATTCCTGCATTGCTTTGTTAACCTCTGAGCAGTCCGGCATAGACAATATCCATTGTGCTCTTTGTGATTCAGACATTCCCCGTCCTCTTGTCATTTCCCCCCGTAGTTTTTATACTCCTCATTAATGTATGTTCAATGGCTAAGTCAGAGGAGATACCTGCCCAGAAAGTATCACTTCTTCTGATGACGTTGTAGCCTGACTGCAGTAATTCAAATACTTCATTGTTTTCTGTTTTCAGGACTTATTTGCTGCAGATAAATTCTGAGCGATTTGACGTATAAATTATGTCCTGCGGCAGCTAGATATGGCAACATTTCTTGGATTGTCTGTAGGTGTAATTGCCAATTGCCAGTCCTTTCAGCCTTGATGAACCTACGCAATATATCGATCATATCCAGATATTGGAACCATAATCGAGAAGTTCTGTAATCCAGGTGCAAAAGTTTCATATTTTCAATATCAGATTTCATGGTGTCCAAGGATGAACATTCGCATACTACATCAACAGTTACAGTACCTTCCATCAATGAATCTAAAAGTGAGGCAGTCTCACATAATAATTCACTGTCTGCATCTTTAGAGAGGTCAGATCCGACTTTAAATTCTTCATTTGATCCTGGAATCGGCACACCGTAAAGTTTGTTCATGATAATTGCAGTCAGTGCCGTGTCTACGAGAAAATGCGCCCGCACTGCTCTTGCAATAGGCTTTCCGGAGAGCATGTGAGTAACAGCAGTAGGTGCATATACCAGTTCCATGAGTTCCATCAGCCCCGAGCCTGACATAATATGACCGATGCTGCCAAGGAAACTCATTTCTGTATGAAATCCTCCAAGTTTTAGAATTATATGCTTTAGAGGACTATCCTCTGATTAATTCTGAATAATTGTCAGTGCCTTCCAGTACAGTGGCTGGTCAAACGTAACAATGGGACAGAAGTTGTTTTTTCTGAGCTTCTTTGCATACAAAATGAAGGGTATAGTAAATGCAAGTCGTGTCACCCGGATTCATATCAATCAAAGGGAGGAATATGATGGAAGACTTCCCAGGTAATGTTCCCTTCATGACATTGTACATCATTGCTGACCAGCTTGGACGCGAAGGCCGCAAAGGCCATGATGAACTTGACAACAGATCTATTTTCCAAGTTTTGTCGTGGGTGACAATATCTTTAAGAACTTCAAATTTCAGCTCCGAAAAAATATCCTTATTACCTCCGTAAAAACCGATGTTGATTTCTGCTAAATCAATTACCTCTTGTAAAGCCGGACTTCCGCGTGGTACAGGTTTGTTTTTTGACATTCCAGGAGTGATTGAAGCTATTATGCCCATACCATGAAATGTTCCATGGCCGTCTAGGATACGCAAATTATGATCAACATTGTCGGCGACATATTGGATAAAAGACCCTGAATCAATGCTTGTGGTATTTCTTCCATTTGTTGCTGCAGCATTAAGCTCAAATTTCTGCACTTCTTTATATGACGAACAAAATCCAAGGTTGTTCAGCAATTCTATGAGGAACCTAGATCCAAAGTGGTGATGCATTTGAACACCCAATCCAATCTGAAGAGGAGCTATGAGTGACTTCGGTCTACACGCCTGAATTAACGCTTGCCCAACAGCCGATAATTTCACAGTGGCGTCAACCTGGCTAATAATCTCTTTCAAGAATAACTGAAGTGTTTCAGGCACGAAATCCAAGTTTTGCTGTCGAGATGACAAGAACTCTGAGGATGGGTAATTGACTTTGAAGCTAGAACCCATTGATTTGATATCCGCCTTTATTAATTTTGCTGCGGTAAGAATTACGTGCTTTTTTTGTTCTTCTTCATTTGTAATCTTCGGTCGATCATAGAACTCTTGTAGAATCGTACTGACGTTATGTGTCATGGTAACAACATTCGGTTTTCCGTTTAAATCAGTTATTACGACTGATTTCCCAAAGTGGTCAATTATCTTCTTCATATATATGGAACTGTATGCCTCGTTTCCACAAATTCGTTCCATTTCTGTAACAAGGTTGCTTATAGTTATTTGCTCTTCATCTCCCTCCTCAATCAGTTTGATCATTTTCTGAAAGGCATCTTCTGTGGATGAATTATTCGGTCTTCCGGATGTACTTTTTTGTGTTCATCATTTTCAGAGACCTGACATAAAGGTATCATTTTTCCGGTTCTGAAATTTACACTGCAGCGTTGATGGTATACTGCATCGGTAGCATGAAGGTCTGCAGGAGCCATTTGAAGCCTACTCTGAACTGCTTCCGACCATTCATCTTTCCTTGAAATGCATACTTTCTCCAAGTTACTCCTAAACTCTATCGTCCTGACCGGGAAGACATCATGGCTGCGCTTCTTTTCGTTCAGTTTGGCATATCTACCACAGAAAAGGCAGTGTTCCCGTAGGTTTAAATCAGGTGTAGACGATTTAAGGCTTCTGTTTGGAGTATTACTGGCATATTCAATTGTCGATTTGAAACTTCTAGGATAAATATAATCCCGTCGACAACTTTGATGGACCTTTTGGCCCGGTACAGCCGTAATATTGTCACCTCTTAACTGACTTGCAAGGTTTATACTCTCACATCCTTTCAGACGAAGCTGTGCCTTTGGCTAATTCTCATCAATTTGTTTTTTTGCAAATCACACAGGCTTCCATCAAAAGCTGCAACGAAAAACACATTTTACCTAAACCTGTTGCCAAAAACTGATTTTTGACATTAATGTGTACAGAAATAAATAAGATGAATTAAGAAATATAAAAGTAAAATTTAATACAAAAACAAAGCTCAGCAATGTTTTTTGCATTTTGCGCATAATGTAAAGTATGTCCATAATTTACACGATCTGCATGCATGGGCTTCCATACTTTTTTTATTTGGCCGTAATTTCTCGTATGTAGTATATGTATATTCATTGTGTGTTTTCGGCTAAATGATTTTATTTGAGGTAAAAATGGTAATGTATTTGGTTTGATAATTAACACTGCTTATATAGACAAATTCCCTTCATAGACAGTGAAATTATACAAAATGTATCTAGATCTACTCGAGTGATTGACATCAGACTAGAGTTTTAATAAAACAGTTGGTCTTGTTATAATACGGTAAAAGATGCATCCTAGTTATGATCAGTTGTTTATAGCACATAGAATTTGTATTAAAAACACACTTTTTAAAGAGTTACTAATACTTACCACAGGTAAAATCACTAGTATACAATGTGTCGTCTGCATGGAGATTATCGCCCTTGTGGAACTCTTTTTTAATACGGTGGCCCATACGTGCCGACGTCCAGTTACTTAGTAATTATGAAGATTTCATCTTTTTCCCCTTTGCCGACTTTTGTCGATTTTTGATATGTTGTTTATGGTTAGTTGATGTAACGTTTAGCATAGAAATTATTTCTCTTGCAATTAGTTTGGCGTTTATCATAGGGTGACTAGACTAATATACCAGGAAGCTTCCATCGTGTGTGTTAGTTACTAGTGTGACTTATTCCGTTGACACTAACTTAAGTATTTTTACAATGATTTTGTCCCTTTAGAGTAGAAAAATGATGTACTGTTTGCGAGAGTCTGACCACACAAGCGGATGCTATCTACATTATCTTAGTTGTTTTGTCCTACTTCAAAAGTTGGTTGACTGGTTGATTTCACTGCCATCTATGTTACAAGAGGGAACGTCCTCTCTTGTCTCTGTCCATCCATAAGAAAAATTATCGGCAAATATTAGTCATGCCAACCGGAAGTGCCAAAGATAATGGCGGTGCGCCCATACTAACTGTATAATAACATAATATATTTCAGAAGGCTCTTAAAGTAGTAGGCATTAGTAGTTATATAAGAAAAACTATACCTCAAAATTCAAAATGTGCCAACCACATCATCCAAATAAAAGATTCTGATCCAAACAAATTCATGAAAAAAAAATCCTCAATTTTCTAAACTGCTTGCTTTCGAAAATGTCAACAGATCAAACGTTCTTTGTTCATAAATCATAAATTATCTTCCCATGATATACTATTACTCCAAGACATCTCATAGTTTTTGTATTTCAATGGAACTCTCGTAATCCTACTAACTTTCTAACAACAGTAGTTTGCTGTGTCTCCTTTGTGTCCTTTTCGTCTTCACTTTTCTCTACTTCCTTTATCATCAATATTTCCCTATAAATCGCATGTCTCTGACTTATTCAGTTCCTTTTCTTCGTCTTTTTGTTCTGTTTCGCGTCGCGGATCCTCGTTTCTGTCATTGTACTTTTTAAGGAATGTCATGTTTCTCCTCATCTGTTCTTCTCCTCCCATTTCAAATTTCAAACTATTACCACATTTCTCAACGACTTATGCTGGTTGAGAATAAAATGTTGCAGACATTCTATTTTCACTCTGCTGTTGTACTAGAACTCTTTCTCCTGCTTTGATTTCACTTTCCTGCTCTCTCCTTTTAGTATCACTTTACAGTTTCCCTGCTGTTTTCCTTTCCTTATCGCGGTCTCGAACATAAATATATATATATATGGTCGTTGACGGACGGTAGTCCTGTAAATCAGGAATTTTCGACCTGATTTTCCTCCCGAAAAGCGACTCTGTGATAGAATGCGGTGTAGGCCGATACATCAGCAGGTAAGTTTGTAGTTCTTCTCGTCAATCCTTCTGTTCCGTCTGAGCGATTCGAGTGCCTTTCATAAGAGAGCTATTTTGACGTTCTATCTCCCCATTAGCTTGCGGCCATAGTGGAGTTGTTGAATGATGTTCAATTCCATTCTGTCGGAGATATTTATTGAATATTTCACTGCGGAACTGAGGACCATTATCAGCAGTCACGCTGAGAGGATTTCCATGAGCACAAAATACTCCTTTGAACATTGTGATGGTTTTCTCAGCAGCCGTTGACTTAGTTGAAACCACCTCAACCCAACTCGAATAGTAGTCTACAAACACGAGAAGATAATCCCCAGACGGTAATCCTAAGTAATCGCGAGCGACATGCTGCCAAAGTCCTGACGGAAATTCATTTCTACTCATTGGGTCCGGTTTTGACTGAGTACTGACCAACTGACATCCGTGACAACTCTTGCAAAATTGTACCACATCATTTTCCATCTTAGGCCACCATACCTTCGTTCTCAAGCGTTGTTTCATAAGGACAATTCCACGATGCTCTTCGTGACCTAGTTCTAGAATTTGTTGACGTAGTGACGTGGTATCACTATTCTTGTACCAATTAAGACGATATTACCTACACAACACAGTTCATTTTTCATCAGGAGGTAGTTTTTGCTTTGTAATTTATCCAAGTTTCCCTTTAATAAAGGTTTGTGATCTGTGACGAGCTGAAACTCAGTACCATAAATGTACATATGAAAACGCTCACAGGCCCACACGAGAGCGAGCACTTCTTTCTCCGTTTGCGAATAACGACGTTCAACACTAGTTAAACTTCTACTGGCATACGAGATTATGCGTTGCTGGTTGTCTATTTCCTGGACAAGGACGGCACCAAGACCGACGTGACTAGCATCCCTATTACTTTAGTCTTAGCCCCGATTTGAAAATAACCCAAGGTTTATGTACTAGCAAGTCCTTGCTTTAACTTCTGAAACGCCATTTCTTGTTCTTGTTTCCATATGAATGGTTCTTCCTTGCGAGTTAATTTCCTCGATGGCTCACTAAGTGTCGCGAGATTAGAAATACATCTCCCTGCAAAATTCACAAGCCCCAGGAAGCTCCTCACTTCCGTCGCTGTTTCCGATTGTCGTGCAGTCAATATGGCTTCCACCTTCGTGTCTGACAAACCAATTCCCTTTGTAGACAGGATATGTCCCATAAATTCAATCTTAGGAAGGTTTAATTGACACTTGCCATAGTTCAAGGTCAGACCTCGTCCCTCGATTACGGACAACACCCTTGTGTAATCTGATATCATGTTCCCCTTTTGAGGAGCCGTGTACCACAATGTCATCGAAAATACGTTCTACCCCATCAAATTTGTCTTACATTTGTTTCATGATACGATTGTACATTTCCGGTGCACAACTTAAACCAAACATAAGTCGTTTGTACTGGTACATTCCTTTACGGGTGATAAATTCAGTTATTCCCTTGACTGGCTTGGCAGCTCAATTTGGTGATACGCGTTGTTTATATCCAATTTTGTAAACACCTGACTTCCATTTAAGTTCTGGAGGACCTCATCAACTGTCGAAATCTGATATCTTTCCTTTACTACAGCACGGTTAGCCTGTCTCATATCTACGCACAGACGTATGTCTCCATTTCGCTTCGGCACCACCAACAGGTGAAATCCATTTCAAAGCCCCTGTACAGATTCAATAATATCTGCATCTTCAATTTCTTGAAGTTTCGATTCCAATTTCTCCCTTAATCTGTATGGAATCCTCCTGTTGGCTTGCACAATGGGTATTTCCAATTCAAAAGCTTTAAGTTTACCCAGAGCTGTAAATAACTTTGAGTACCTTTCCTTCAAGTTCTCAATCTGACTGATAACTGCAGTGTCTTCTCCAGGCCCTAACCTGAATACTCCTAGCTCTATAGCTGTAGCCATGCTCAATAGGGACTTGCCCTTTTCCTTCAAAACAAAGAATTCCGCTTCAGCCTGTTTACTGGTTGATCCCGTACTTTAGCAGTTTTATATCTGCTGTGAAGCTACCCATTATGGTGAGAGGCTGTGCACTTCCATAGGCACATTGGGATTTTTATTCCGATTTCTCACTTTCACCTTCCCCTGTTTCATAATTTCCTCAAGTGTCTCTACTAATAATATTTGCAGTTGCTCCAGAATCAATGAGAAAATTTGTAGTAAACCCTTCAATCTGTAGTTCTACTGATGTACTTGTAGGCTGTTTATTTCCTTGAATTCCAAACAGGTATTTGTTGTCTGTGTCACTGTCTGTTTTAACTTGTTTCACATGAGCGTTGGAGTTGCCTCCCTTCCTCCTTCTTTTTTTTGTGTGAGGATTTACTTTCGTTTTACAGCATTTCTCAAAATGTCCGTTGTTTTTACATTTTTTACATTTTCGATCTTTTGCAGGGCATTTAGTATCTCTTTTTATGTGTCCTGTGTAACCACAAGCGTAAAATTTCGACTGGTTCCCAAAACTTGTTTTAACTTTCAATTTGTTAATATCCCCTCGATCATGTCCTGTAGGAGACCCCGTTTCCATCGAACTGGCAGCTTTTTGTGCAGTTTCATATGTCGGTGCTACTTCTCAGACTTGTGCTAATGTTATATTCCGTCTCTCTAAAAATTTCCTTCTCAACCGGGATGAAATACATTTCTCGATAACCTGGTCTCTGATCATTTCATGTGTACGATTACGACCCCCGCAATAACAAAACACTGCTTTTTTCACGAAAGCGTGTAACAAACAGATCTACAGTTTCTGATGGTTCCTGTGACATCGCCCTAAATTGCGAGCGTTCAAATGAAATGTTTATTTGTGGGGTGAAATGTGCATCTAATGTGGCTTTTGCTACCGTATAAACAGTTTCATGCTCACCTGGTGCAGCTACAGTTAGAGTGAAAAAATATATCATAAACTTTTGGACCAGCACAAAGGAGTAAAAGACTTTTCTTTTTAGATTCGTTATCAACACCTTTACCCTCGGCAAACGATTGTATCCATTTTTGCCAACGTTGACTCGGCCAATTGACTCGGATCAAATTGTTTAATCACTCCAAAATCTGACAAATTGATCGCTTCAGCAATTTTTCAGAGTTCGTTTTCACACTCTTCGCCAAAATGTAGTGTCTGCAGGGTTGGATGGATTAGATGATATACGATATACCGGATTTAACCGAACACATGACTGCAAGACCATTAAAGGTTTCGGCCCACATGGCACTTCCGTTATATTTCAAACCTTACTGAGCATGTCAAGTACAACTTCATGATTTACGCATTACATTGTTTCACTTGTTCATCATTATAGATATTACTATATTTCTTCACCAAGGAAGTTCTAACTGAAATTAACCAACGAAAAGCTTGAGAGAATAGTTTTCAACATCAATAAAGCAGGGTCTGAAAATCCTGGAACTAAGAAAAAGGAAGAGAGTTTATTCGTAGTACCGTTTTTGCGGAATCATGAAAAAAAGATATGGAGAAAGTTGCAAAGATTATGTGGCTTGGTATCAGACCACAAACCGAAAGTACCAAAGCACGACCATTTTAAATCACATTCAAGGACCAAGAAGCCAAATCTGTGTTTTTAAGTAATTTGAAAAATATTGCACATAAAACACAAGACGCTATTAACAAAATTAGTGTCGCACATGATATAAACAAAAAGAGAGAAAGTCACTCAAAGAAAAAAGTAAACGAGGGGGGGGGGGTGGAAGTACATTGTCCGAGGTCCACCGTGGGATTGGCGCACAATAAAAGTAAAGAAAAGACAAACTGTGCAGAATATTCCTACACGCGAATAAGTGCCGACACCATGTACACAACATAAAATGCATGAATCAGAATCAGACCTGTTTCAAACTTTTAGTAAAAAGGGACTTCATTTTCTCCATCTGAACATCAGATCATTGCTAAAAAAAAGGTGCAAGAACTCCAGATCACTGCTAACAGAACGATTGCTGCCGTAACATGTATCACTGAAGCATGGCTAGATAGCTCGATTACTAACACAGAAATGGGGATTGAAGGATACGATATACTTAGAAAAGACAGAAACTGCTTGGGGGGCGAGGAGAGTTTGGTGTCCGTATAGATATTGCGTTTATCCGTTACATTTCAGGAGACCACAGAGTTAGATAAATATTTTTTTTAAAGAATTGCTACTTCCTAAAACAAAACCAATATCTATAGTAATATGTTACCGTCCTCCAACTCAAACAATATATCCTAATAGATTAGAAATGTTCCTGTCTCATAAAGATCCGATTGTGATATCTTCATTTCAGGAGTTTTTAACATATGTTTAAAAGATTCGAAAAATGCTCTTTTTAAAACGTATGAAAATATCTTAAAATTGCATGGGCCAACTTCTAAAAGAACCGACAAGATTAACTGAAACTACTAAATCCTTAATTGATTATATTGTGGAATATTCCAGAAAACGTCAGTCAGTCTGGAGTGGTTGCTGTTAATGTAAGTGACCACTTCCTCATTTTCTGTACAAGAAAAACTTACAAGTCTGTTTTTACCAACATAAAAGCTTTGAATTAAGATCTACTAAATTGTATGATAAAAATATTTTCAGTAATGTATTATTGAATGCTAACTGGGAAAATTTCTTTAATGGAAAACAAATGTGAATGAAAGTTGGAGAGAATTTCATTCTATCTTCTGTAAAATATTAAATCATGATGCACCAACAAAAGAAGTTCTTTTAAAGCAAAAAACGGAACCGTAGATATCCAATGAAGTTTTGGAAAACATAGAACTGCGAGACAATTATAGAAAATCTTTCAAAAAGTTTGGAAAGGAAGATGACCTACGCATGTATAAGAAAATCAGAAATCGAAGCAAAAGCAAAGTCTATTTTTTTGTTTCTAACAAGAAAATTGAAGAAAATAGAAACAACCCAAAGGGATTGTGGAGACAATTCAAACAAATGGGCTATCAACAAAATACCAAATCTGGTTCTAATACAGTTCTGAAAATAAATTATAACATTTGCCATGTTGAAATAGCCAATCATTTCAATAATTATTTTTCAAATGTAGGTGCCAATTTAGTTAAGAAGTTGCCCCAAGGAAAAGGGAAAATATGTTGCTTCGTCAGATACAATAAAAACTTCTATAGATAGAAAAGTTGTATCAAATTGAATTTAGAACATGTGGATGAAAATATTGTTTATAAAGAGATGTGTAAATTGAATACATCTTAATCTGCGGGACTTGATTGTTTGCCAGCTAGATTTCTCAGAGATACATATGTTAGACCATATCAAATCTCAGTCCTCCAAAGGTTTGTTTACAGGTATGGTATTGCTCGACTTGCAAAAAGCCTTTGATACAGCTGACCACAATATTTTATGTGATAAGCTCTCTGTTCTTGGAGCGGAATCACTCAAATGGTTTAGATGCTATCTCTCGGGACGGAAACAAATCGTAAGATATTAATGAAGTA